ATGTTCCTCTTCTGGATAGTTCGCATAATATATAATCTTGGCATCTGGCTTCCTTTGCTTAGCAAAATGTTTTTGGAGATGCGTCCATGTGGCAGCATATATCATAGTTCATTGCTTTTTATTGCAGGTAGCCCCCCACTGCATGGACTCACCAGCTGATGGACATCTGGGTCGTTTCCAGGTTGGGGTTACTATGAATAACGCTGCTGTGAACATTCACACGTGTGTCTTAGTGTGGACATATGTTTTCATTTCTGCTGGGAAGTTTCCTAGAAGTGAGATGACTGGCTCCTAGGGCACATGTATGTTTAACTTTTTCCAGAAACTGCCAAGCTGCTTACCAAGAAGACATTGCCATTTTTCCTCCCTACAGCATCGAACAAAAATTTTGAGCTGAATAGTGTAGAAATTGGAAAGACCCATGTAGGGCCTGATTCCGGTGTGAAAAAAAATTGTCTGTAACAATGTGGATCCCCTGCCCTCCGCCCCCACCCAAGTGTGAGGGTGGACCTGGCAGGGTCTCCAAGCAGCCCTGGCTGTATAAAAACCTAGGAGGAGGTGACTGAAAGATTGCTGATATTTCAGGATAAAACAGGCCTATCGGCTACTGTTCCCCACTGACTCTGTACGCTTTCACCGCTCTGCCTTCTTGACACATTAATTCCCATTGCTCACAGCTGACTTCCGGTGGGAGGTCCCTCAGGATCCTGGTCCTCTTTTGTACCTGCAACTCTCATCAATAGCTAATCAATAGATGTCATCATCATGCTCATTTCCTCTCTTCCATGTAATAAAAGCAAATGCCACAGCCCATGACCCCCAACTGGCCACCCTGGTCCATCTGTCCCCTTACTCACATCCCTAAAAAATTCCTTGGCATTTTTCCTCCCCAAACCAATTTGCATCCATTTTCTAGGATTTCAGGAAATGCTCTAGCTGTTTCTTACTGTCTACATGGTGCTGCCTCCTGGCCCCAATTCTGTAATGTGCTTGCAAATGCTAGTCCATTGTCGGCCACGGTTTGTTTTCATTAATCTCATAGCTTCCTTGTTTATTGGAATGCCATGGCCCTCTATGTGTTTACATATTATTTGCTTGTTTACCAACTTGCACACAGCATCTTCCCCTCACTGCCCCACAGGAGCCTGGACTTGATTTCTAGGTTAGGTGAGCAATGCTCACAGAGCAGGATCTGAGTCCTGGGGCAAGGAAGACAGTACCGGGCAGGGAGGTAGGAAGGAAGGGAGAGAAGGTGCATCTAAACACTAGCCTGTGGTCGGGCAACCACCAGCTTTCTCTTTAGACAGTTCTCGTGCGGAAGGTAAAATGGGCTCAACCTGAACATTCTCTTCCTAACACTGAACAGTCAAAAGCTTTGGTGTCACCTGTTATCGATTTTCATTTTAAACCTCTTTTGAAAAGCAAATGCAGGGAATCAACCTCCCAAAAGGAAAAAGAGAAAAAAACAATAATAACCAAAAAAATGTTTAACCCAGCCATCCAATTGTCAATTCATAGCTTAACATAAGGCCCATGTTCCCCTGGGCCAATATGGAGGCAAGGAACAGACGGCCCTCCTTTAGGAGAAGGCACTGCACCCACTCTGCGTGTCATCTCACTTCGTCTTCATAAAATCCAGCCAGGCAGCTGCAAGTATCCTCAGTTTGCAGATGAGAAGCTGGAGACCTGAGGAGGCAAATGACTTGCCCAAGATGGTACAGCAGGATTCAAAGGGTGTACTTTGGACTCCAGAACTCCTAGGCTTTCCCCTACAACAGGCTGCCTTCAGACGACAACACTCTCAGGCCCCATCAGGGCTGCCAGGAGACTCTACCATCTCTTCATCATCATCAATATTTATCAAGGGCCCACCGCCTACATGGCATTGCTCTTGTTTCCACAGCAACACGCTGTCAGAGTCACGGGAGCATCCCGTGCTTAGAAGAACGAAGCTGTAATGTCCTGTGATCATGGCTCTGAAAGGTGACAGTTATGCTACTACAGCGGACGGCGTCTCAGCTGGCAGCCTGGAGGCTGCAGGAGCTGTGCTGGGGATGAGCCTGAAGCAATGAAGTCGAGGGGAAAGGTAGTGGATTGTAAGCAAGAAGGTCTGCTTTCCCTATGAACGTGTCTGTGACTGTGTTGCTGAAACAGAATCCAAGCCAGGTTTGCACATTAATTGTTCCTTTATTAGAGAACAAATCAAGCAATCCAGGACAGAGAGTAAAATTTGTTACTGTACCGCTAATAGTTCCCCAGAGGTCCTGGCAATGATTATCAGTAAAATGGCTACATCACTAACAATTGGGATTTCAAAACAGTCCCCTCGAAGATCCATTTTTGCTCTCAGGGTAGGATGCTGAAAGCCAGAAGGACCTGGAGGAAGGGTCCCCCAAACCACTAATTTAACTATTTCTCTCTCGTCCCCTCCCCTCCCCAATTGTTTTGTCACACTCTTAACAGGCTGATTTTAAATGAGTTTTTATTATCTTTCCTGAGAAAAATCATTCTGGCTGATAAAACACATCCCAGAGTAAGGAAGAAGGAAATTGCCTTTTGATAACAAGCTTTCACCATTGACTTGTGGGCACAGTGACCCCCATGTTCCAGCAAAAATATCACCCCAACTGTATCTTGGATATCAGCTTAACCAGTTGAGTTGAAATTGTTTTCAAGAATGAGGATTTTCAGATTAAAAGGAGATGGAGAACATACCACTAAGTTTTAAAATGTATCAGTTCCGCAAACTTGCCAAAAGTTTTAAATAAGATACTTTAAAGGAAATCAAGCTACTGTCATAATTACACTAGATCTGGAATCCAACAATGTCTGCCTCCAGAAATTAAATAAGATCAGCCCTTTCAAAAAGTCAACATTTGCAGCCTTCCTGCATCTACAAATGGAGATATGCACAAGGAAACCTGGAAAAGTTCACCTCATTTAAATAAATGGTCCAGTAACCATGAAACCAAAAAGAACAGGGTAGATACAGTACACAGAAAATGCCCTTTTTTTTTTTACAACGGAGCGAGGCTTACAATGCACCAAATCTCCAAAACAAGTGAATCCCCTCGTTTTAAGGCGTCCTTGGAACAAATGCAGTCACTTGCCAAGTACAAGCTGCAGCAGATTTGCAGAAGCGTTTGGCTCAGGTAGAACCAAAAGAATTTCTTCCCAGACTGTACTCCAGGACTGCTTCTCCTTCCCAAGTGTTCCGAAGAGCAAACAAAGAAAAGGTGCTTGCTCCTCACACTTCTCTAAATGTTTTAACAAAAGGCTGCTGAATAAACACATTACTCATTTTAAAATTGAAAAGAAGTTCTAGTCCTGAGATGAAAGCAACCAGATTTGCATTTTAACAGTTGTGGGCGGGCGCCACCTGGCGGGAGCATCCGGAACCGGCGGGCTGTCATCACAGCATCCCAAGCCCGTGCGGTTTCCTAAAAGGGTTCGAGAGCCCTGGTGTCATCTTTTCAGAATGTCTTTGCCGGAGGAACGTGAGTACTATTAATGTGCACAGGGCGGCCAGAGGAGTGAACACTAAACAAGAATGCACGCCAACAGAACCACGCCCGGGGCCGCAGGACTGTCCCAAGCATCCTACCCTCCTCATTCTGCACAACCAGCGCGCACCCTCCAGAAAGTGCACCCTCTTTCGAATGGCCCAGCGGCCGATCTCTTCTCTCCAGCCGTCTAATCCAACCTTCCAGCGCCACACCCCTCAAGAGTGTCCTAGTGCCTAACTTGCCAGCCGCGCAAACAAGCTGCCCCTTTCACAGGATCCTATATTCGGGTCCCACGTCAGTGCGGAGCAAGGGAGAGCCCAGTGCATCTCCAAGAGAATGTCCCTCCGGAGTTCTCAACCGCAGAAGCAGCTTGATTAAGGAGGTGACACTCCCGCACCCCAGGTTTACGGGTCTCCCTCCCTCTCTCTCTCTCTCTCTCTCTCTCTCAATATCTGGGCACTCCTGTTACTCAGCAATTCAAACGAGCTTCTTCCTCACTCCACTTGCTCAGCTCAGTGTGTCCCTGTGATCCGCTCAGCGTGGTTGCACCAAAGCAGCTGCTGCTAAGAAACTTCAAGGTGATGTTGAACTTGGGCGCCTACCTGCACGCGCCTCCCGCCCCTCTGTCCTGCCCCCACCGCCTGGTCTTTCGGGGCCTGCGGTGGGGGTGGGCGACGCGTAAAAACCAGCTCGTGGCGGCCTCCCGAGCAGGCCCACGTCCCACGAGGGGCCTAGCAGGGCCGCGCGTCCCCACCCGGGGGAACTGCCTCCGCTCACCTCCTGGCCGGGGTCAACCCCGCAGAGGAGTCCCCCAAACTTTTCAGCAGCAGACACTCTCCGGGACAAAGTCACTCCACTAAAAGGGCCTTACCAGGGGTGCCTATTTTACTCCGGATGAGGCCACGGGGTGGGGAGTAGGTATTGCTGCGTTGTCGGCAACACAGACACCCCCGGTGCCCTCGGCGGCTCGCCCAGGGCGCAGCGTGGGGCCGCCGCGCGTTCAGCGCGAGTCTGGGGCTCCCCGCACCCCCCGGGTGCAGAGACTCGCCGCCCCCCGGGCGGCCCCGGGCCTGCGGCGCCCGGTGCTCCCCACGAAAAGCGCGCGCTCCCCACGAAGCGGCCGGGGAGCGATCGCCCCACCCCGGCGTCGCCGCCGCTCCTCGTCTCGCCGCCCCAAACACTCAAGTGACAGATTCCGACAAGTGGGAGGCAGCGAGTGGAGACGCTCGCAGCCGCCGCGGAAAGTTACTCCAGCCCGGGGCCGGCAGCAAAGTGAAGTGGCCAACTTCGCCAAACGCGGGCTGCGGGCGGGCGCCGGGGCCGGGCGCGCGGGCCGGGGCGCGCGGGGACGCGGCTCCCCAAGCCTGAGGCCGGACCCGCGCTCCGGCCGCCGGGCCCCGCGCCCCCGCCGGGCCGCGCAACTTTCTGTCCGCGGGCCCCGCGGCGGGCGCGGGGCGCCCCGGGAGGGAGCGGGGGGCCGGCGGGCGCACTCACCTGCGGCGCTCTGCGCGCGGGCGCCGGGCAGCGGCGGCAGCTGCAGCCGCAGGAGCAGGCAGAGGGCGAGCGCGGCGAGGCTCTCCATCCGGGCGGCGGCGGGCGGCTCAGCCCCTTCCCGCGGGGCCCGGGGCCGGGACTCGGGCGGGCGCGGGGCGGCCCCGCATCGCCGGCGCGGCCGCAGGCTGTGCGCGCCGCTGGGCGCCCGGGCTGGCTCGGCTGGGCTCCCGGAGCCGGCGCCGCTGCGCTCGGAGCCGAGGCGCGGCGCGAACTGAGGCGGGAGGCTGGGCGGGGGCGGGACGCGGGGGGCGGGGGGCGGGGGGTGTCCCCCGAGTCCTAACGCCGCCGCCGCCGTCGCCCGCGCCCGCCCGGGCGCTCCGCCTCGGCCGCGCACACACCCCCGCACGCACGCCCGCGCCCCGCGCCCGCACCCGCCCGCGCCCGGCCCCGCGGGCTCCCCCGCGCCCCCTCTCCGGGGCCGGCCGGCTCGGGGCCGCTCGCGCCCTCGCGCGCCGGCACCCCGCACCCCTGCGCCCGCGCCCGCGCGCCCCGCGGGGTCCCCGGCTCCTCGCCCCGCGCCGCGCCACGCAGCCAGACATCGTCTGCCCGGCTGGGGCGCAGGTACCGGGGGCGGCGGGGGGCGGACAACGGGAGCAGCCGCTGGAACTCGGGACTGGAGAACAGGTGAACGGCGAGGGCCGGGAGGGGGCAGCGGGGGAGGGCGCAGCCTTCGCAACTCGGGACCGGGGTCCCGGGGAATTGGGTGGGGAGGGGCAGCTGTCAGGCTGGGGCAGGCCTCGGAGGGCGATGGTCACTGCAAGCCCCAGGATGGGAATTTCATTTAGAAGTAGACACCCCCGCGTAGCGCGCGCGCGCGCGCGCACACACACACACACACACACACTCACACACACACACTTCTGGGCGCGATGCTGCCTGCAGTGCGATCTCCCTCACCCCACCCCACCCCCAGCCGCTCAGGGCCCCTCTTACTCAGCCACATCCCTCCCTGGCGCCACCCCACGTGCCCACTGGGCAGGAGGCGTCCCCCTTCTCTGCCGAGGCCTCCCACACCTTCCCTTTCTTGGGAGGCAGAAACACCACTTAGCGTTTTCCTTTTTCTTCCCGGTTTGAACAAAGACCTGGTTGGGGCTGAAAGCTAAAACAGCAGCTCAGACTCCTGTCTGTCCCCTGAAGACAACTACAGGGACTCTGTCTTCTTGGGAGGGGTGAGCACGCGGAGGAGAATGGGTGCCACTGGGTCCTGGCTGGGGGCCTAGGCTGTATAAGTTGGGGCACAGGGACAGCTGGGCAATGCCAGGGGTTCACTTTGTGAACCTGGGCAAAGCACTCCTGTTTCAGCACAGCCTCCTCATCCTTGTGGGGGTCCCCAGGATTGGCCTCGACAGACTATGGGGGAGTCCCATGAAAGTAGGGCATAGCTGAGGTTTCCAAAAGTTGGAGTCTCAGGATCTGGACTGAGTGATTATGGCAGAAAATGTGTGGCCTCGCCCCCATACCCAGGTTCCAGTATGGGACCACCCACCCCCACAGCTGCCCCCACCTTGCATGTGCACTAGGCACATTCTTTCACCCTCCAAAAGGTGAAGGTCTCGAACCAGCCTGTGCCTCCCACACCTGCCCATCCGCCAGGGAAATTTCTAAGTCCTGCTTCCCAAGCCGCTGCCCAGGTCAGGGTCAGGGAACGAAGGCCTGGAAGTGGGACCTTCTACCAGCCACTCTGGAGATTTGTAAATATTCTCCTTACAGAGCCATGTGCCCCGATCTGCTGGCCTCCGGGGACAAAGAGGAATGGCTCTCGGGACACCTAGGACGGGAAGGTCCCTTCTGCTCACAGTCACGCTGCTGGCTGTTGGCCCCTCAAACCCCCACCCAAGGTCTATGCTGAGCAGATGAATTGTTAGGGGGTCTCTAAGGAGAAACCTGATCTCACAGGCCCATGACAGGTGACCCTGAGCATGGCTGATCCCTGGAGCCATGTCACTGGGTCACTGAGGAACTTGGTGTCACACTTGTGACCTGTCCCAGATCCCTTGGGCTCCTATTTAATCCCTCTCAAGCTTTCTGGAAAAAGTATAAAACAGCAGTTCTTACAGCACCTTCAAGAACAGGCCCTCCACACTCGAAACTCCCACGTCTGGATGGGACCCAGAGAAGAGGCTCCATTTCAAAGGCCCCAAGGTGAACCACTACCTTCTATGCTTTTCCAGCGGCCTCCACACCACACTGCCCCCACCACCCCCCCAACTCAGACTCAGATATCCAGTCACATGCTTTTGTACCTGCAGTTCCCTCTGCCTGGAAAGCCCTTCCCTGCATGTCCTCCCTGGCCATCTCACACTGGTCTTTAAGATTTCTCAGAGGTCTTTCCTGCCCAGGGTCCCTTGCCGAGGCCTCCTGGGCTGGCTGCTGTGCCCTGTTGTCCACACGGTGAGGATGTCGTTCATCTCCCACTTGGTCTGTTTCACCAGCTGAATTGTCAGAGGTACCTGGGCACTTGACATGGCTACTGGGTGATGGAAGCTTGAGGAAGAGATTTAGAGCTGGCTCAAGATGCCTCGCATGCCAGGCCTCCTCTGGACTGACCTCTCATGGGAGGGGCTCGAGAAGGGCTACACTCATCTCCCACTCTCCCTGGGGAGCCAGTGCTGATTAGCAAGAAGGGGCTGCCTCCCCCCACCATCCGCCTGGGTTACTGGGACACAGGACTACATGTCTGCCCCCCGGCTCAGGGCTGGGCCCAGGGTTAGAGCTGAAGCAAGGGGATGGGACCAGAGTGGGCCTTGTGAGTGGGCTGCCCTACAGCCCCTTTCAATTCTGCTCAACAAGGCACCCTCTTGTCCTTGGGGTGCCCTGAACACCACAGGGTCTTTGACAAGACCTCTCTGGGCCTCAGTTTCCCCATCCACACAGTGGCTTCCCTTTGAGCACAGACAGGAAGGAATGTTCATTTTTGCTGCAGATTTTTCAATCCAGCACAGTTTATTTTTGTTGTTGTTTAAAGATTTATTTATTTTTTATTTATGCATACAAGAGCTGGAGTGTAGGCCAGGGTGAGAGGATTCACCAGAGACAGAGTGGGGATCAGAACAGGCAGCTCCACTGAAATATACTGCTGAGGGGAGCAGCGGGCTAGACGGGAGAGGTCTGCTGTGCCATTTGGGTCAGCTCCCTGGCTGGAGATCCAACTTGTGCTGCAGTGGCTGCCACAGCTGCAGCCAATAGCTTCATAGTGCTGAGACTTAACCCCTTGCACCACCAGGGAGGCCTCAATCCAGTGCAGTTTTAAGGGAAGCCTGAAACACGGGGCATCCTTGCAACAGGTGAGCTGGCTGCCTGCCACGTGCCAGGAGCATCAAGGCTGTGGGTTCACAATTGGACACTTGACATGGCCTTTGCTCTCAGGGAACTTAAAATTCAGTGGGGAAGACTAGACATAGACAAAGAAGAAAGGTAAAGCATCAGGAGGTGGCCTCCATCTCCCCAGTTCCCCTGCCAAGGATGAGCAGCCCCCTTGAAGGAGCAAAGCACCCTAGGGGCCAAGGTGCCTCACTTAGCTGAGGGGAGAGTCTGATGATAGAGCTTTTGGTTTATCCCCCTCTTACACAGGAGAAACTGAGGCTCACAGAAGGCAAAGAGAGGCACCCACATTGCTGAAAATACCTGCTGTCTCCCTAGCCTGGAAGAAGTCTGGAGCAGACTGACCATCCCGGGTCTAACACAGACCTCGAACTAGCAGCATCAGCATCACCTTGGGAACGTGTTGGCAATGCACATTCTCAGGCCCTGCCCTAGACCTGTGGCATCAGAAACGCTGGAGGTGGGGCCAGGAAGCAGGTGAAGCTGATGTACGCCCAAATGGAAGACGCCCACGGAGAAAATGCCAGCGAGTGAAGGCACAGTGAGGGCGCCCGGGGCTCCGTGGGAACACAGGAGTTCGGGAATGCAGGAGAGTGAGAGCCCCTTGACTGCCTGACCCTCTGCAAAGCTTCTGACAGCCCTTCCAGGGAAGCCAGACCAGCCAGGACAGGACCTCACCCCAGCCACCCCAGCCACCCCAGCGCCCCAGCACCCCAGCCGCCCCAGGCCTAGCCAGTGCCCAGGCCCCACTGCCTGCTGGCCCCACCCTCCCACGGAGTTCTCAGCACATTTGGAGCTGTCTCCACACATAAATTCATGGACCAGCTGTCTCTTTTAATCTGGTTGCAAGATGAGACCATTAATAGATGTCAGACACATTGGCAATGATCTCTTCATTAATAATTTCCTCCTTTCTGAGAAAAAAATTAGTAACAAGCAACCATCAATAATTCAAAAATACAAGTTAACCTTTCTATTAGCAGAGTGGCAATGTGCAGGCCGTGGACTCAGAACGAGCGTTGTGGCTTGAATAATTTTTTTTATGGCAGGAGTATTAATATGCATTCATGCTGTCTGTCCAAATACGCAAATATAAATAATCCCAAATGTAACTTTAAAACCTTAAGTATTTTTCAAGTGTAATCTCACGATCCATCTATTTTGTTCTGTAAAAAATGCACATCATCCAGTAATACTGCTTTGTCCAAAAAGCAGCAGGACTTGACAAAGGAATCTTTTCCAGGATGAGGCCCTTGGGGTTCCAGAAATTTCCTTCTGCTTGAACCAGTGTTGCCACTTTGCAGGCTCTTCTTTCCAGAGTCACGGTTCTCCCTGGGGACACGGGCTTCCCTGCAACTCTGGCTGGGATGATGGTGTGCTCTTGGTAAACATTCTCCATCCCACAAGCCCTTCCTGTTCTTCTTCTGTGATTTTCGGGCCCACAGCATCCGGGTCCTCTTCTGGGACATGCTCTCATTTGGCAACATTCCTGTTCCAGGGAGCCTAGCCTCTGCCTCGGTGCCCCCTACCACCATCTACCCTCCACTCATCTTTGTGTCCCCACCAGTGACATTGGAGTGCTCACTCCCCCACTCCCACCCCAGGCTGTGCTGAGTGGGAATTAAAAGCACCTAGAGCAGGGCCTGGCCTACAGAGATCCTGTTCCTTCCTTTCTTTCCTGCAGCCAAGTCTTAGATTCACCGTGCC